AATGATCTCATTGAGATTTAAAACCTCTTTTTCAAATATATATATACAAATGTATGTGTATATATATATATATATATATATAATACATTATAGATTACTAGTTACTGTCGTTTGAGAGTAATTAGTTATATTACAATATTACTCTCTGAACGCTTTCCACTACTTTTGTGTTAAATAATATGAATCCCGTCCCCATTTAGAAAGACACTGTGAGAATTTACGCACGTGGTAAAGCAGCATAACGTCACTGATTATTTGAATCTCCCGACACTCCGACAGGATCAGTCAGGATGAACAGACAGCAGCCTCTCTGATCAGGAAAGTAATTCATTAAAGTGCAGACACATAGCCAATAGAAATCTATTTACGCATGATCCATCAGTGGAGCTACCGTCTTGTCAAGAGGAACCGAGCAGGAAATAACGTTACTCTTATTACTCATGGATTTGTTTTTCTGCTGCCGAAAAGCTTCTCTGTGTTGGTGAATTATATATTAAAAAAACACAGCGTAATTTCGTGTTAAAATGCGTTGTAACGCACGTTATTGAGATTGTAACGGGTATAACATTACGTTTTTTTAAATTTTTATTACTGCGTTACAGCAAAAAACAATTCATTACTGTAATTGCGTTACTTTTGCAACGCGTTACTCCCAACACTAATACTAAACTAGCATTTGCGGCATAATCCCTCAACCATGTGTGCTTTCACATAGCGATCCGGCTTTCTGAAACCATCTGCACAGGAAAAGACCGCATTTCATACAGACATAATTCTACCTATGTTACTACCAACGTTCCCGGCTCCGTACCTTTCATACAGCTCAGCGAGCCGGCATATTGGCGTAATACTCCCAGAAAATAAGGTAGTGTGAAAGCACCTAAAGAAGGAAGAGAAAGGGTTTAACAAAATAAAACAGCAAATAATAACACTTAAACCCCAAACCACGACAGGAACTCTCTGCAAACAGTTTGGAAATAAGAAAATACTGGTTAATCTTTTAAAATGTTTCTTGTGCTTGTACAGACAAGCTGAGATCAAATCTGTGCGTGTTTCATGAATAAGGGTCAACGTTTTAATGTGAAGTTATGAAGCAATTTTTATTGAGGATATGTAATGTAGTGAATTAATGAGCTCATGCCTCTTAATAATAACATGTAAGCATCCTTAGCATCTCAAAAAAGGGTGGTGTCGAGTGAGTTATCCTGACTAATGTAACTCATGTAGCCCTACAGTATTACCTCTACGATAACAGCAAATTATTCTGCCTACTTTAAGACTTTACACACACAGAGTGAGTGATTCCTGCAGGAAACAGTAAACACCCTTTCAGTATCAGACCCTCACCGCTGCGGGCTTGAAAGGTTGCAGCTGTATTATTAAACTCCAGTGTGTGTGCTGGGCTGAATGTTTCGGAGAACAGGTTCCTGAGTGCCTTGGCTGTTCTGGCTGAACGACCCGAGCTGGTGGAGAAAGTGATGGTGACTCGCTCGCTGTGTGCAGAAGGAGCCTATCAGGTGCGTCTATGCAAAGACGGCTCGTGGACCACAGTGCTGGTGGACGACATGCTGCCGTGTGACGAGACGGCCACCTCCTCTTCTCTCAGGTGAAAAATTCAGCTCTGAACTGTTTCTTGTGTTCACGTATCAAACATGCATCACTCTCATATTCCCATAGGAACTGTTCCCTAACAACTTAATAAAGATTAATACCACTGCTCCAAAAGAACATAATAACATGAAAATGAAGTGTGGGCTATTAAATGTCAGATCCCTCTCTTCAAAAGCTGTACTAGTTAATGAACTAATATCAGATCATAATATAGATTTGTTCTGTTTGCCTGAAACCTGGCTGGGACATGATGACTGTGGCACTGGACTGGTCGGTGCCTTGAGGACTGCAGCTATTTTTCATTCAGGCCTTTTAGTCAAGTCAAAACCTAAACTAAGGTCTGGCTCTTTTGAAAGCCTTATTCTTTGTATTTCAAACCGACCTGGAGACCTATGCAGATTTCCAGATTTTATTTGTTATTGTGTACCGTGCTCCCGGTCTTTACTCCCCGTTTTTATCAGAATTTCCGACTTTTCCTTAAAACAGAAAAAGTGATGATTGTATGTGATTTTAATATTCATGTGGATGTCAAGAATGAAATGCATTTAGTTCACTGCTTGATTCGGTTGGCTTCTGTCAAAGAAAAAGAGAGCATCGCGGAAACTTGAGAGGAAATGGCGTCTTACACATCAAGAAGATTCTCATTCAATGTGGCAGGATAGATTGAAAATGTATAGGAAGGCCCTCCGCAGCGCCAGAGCAGCCTATTACTCAAAATTAATAGAGGAAAATAAGAACAATCCCAGGTTCATCTTCAATACTACAGCCAGATTGACGGGAAGCCACAGTTCTAAGGAACAATGTGTCCCTCTTGACCTCAGTGATGTTTTTATGAACTATTTCAACAACAAAATTTTAGTTATTGGAAATATAATTCAGCACCTCCTGCCTTCAATGGAAGCCGACGTGCCCTTTATCTCCTCAGAAGAACCTTTAAAACTCAGTGGATATTTGGACTGTTTTGCTACCATGACCCTCCACCAACTTACTTCAGTTGTGTCCTCGTCCAAACCAACAACCTACCTCACAGACCCCATCCCAACCAAACTGCTCAAAGAGGTTTTGCCCTCAGTTGGCACTTCTTTGTTAAATATTATCAACCTTTCCTTGACAACAGGCTATGTACCTTAGTTTTTTAAGGAAGTGGTCATTAAAAAAACTTCTTGATCCAGGGGTTTTAGACAGTTACAGATATCATAACCAAGATCCTTGAAAAATACTGTGGCAAATCAACTCTGTGAATTTTTGCATAGCAACAACTTATTTGAAAAATTTCAGTCAGGGATCAGAATACATCATAGTACAGAGACAGCACTGGTGAAAATCTCTAATTATCTTTTAGATCAGATAAGGGACTAGTCTCTGTATTGGTCACCATATTTTACTACAGAGACTTGAACACTTGATCGGCATTAAAGGAACTGCTTTAAGCTGATTAAATCTTATCAGATCGCACCCAGTTTGTACATGTAAACAACAGCACAGCAGAGTCAGCCATGGAGTTCCACAAGGTTCAGTCCTTGGACCTATATTATTCACCTTATATATGCTTCTGCTAGGTAATATCATTAGGAACCACATTATAAATTTACATTGTTATGCTGATGATTCTCAGTTATACCTTTCTATCAGAACTGACGAAACCAACCAGTTAGCTAGGCTTCAAACGTGCATCAAGGATGTGAAGACCTGGATGTTTTATAATTTCTTGATGTTGAACTCTGAAAAAACCGAGGGTGTGGTACTTGGGCCTTGCCCCCTTTCGATACACATTGTCTGCAGAGACAGTTGCTTTGGATGGCATTGCCATGGCCTCCAGCACCACCATGAGGAATCTGAGATCTGTTATGTAGGACTAGGTGTTACTATCCCTTAGACTGCACATTTGGGGCATCTAGGCACTGCCTAGACTCTGCGGGTTGGTCAAGTGGGTGATGGCATCTTCTGGGTTATCAAGTGGGGGCCCTCTTTCCTCAATGTTTCGCTGATAGGCCCATGGCACCACCTCTCGTAGGAGCCTTGAGATTGATGTAGCTGCAAACCCTCTAAAGCCTACTTCAACCGGTCGGACTTCTGCTTTCCAGCCGCGTTGTTGTGCAGTGGCTGCAAGCTCGGGATACCTCAGCTTCTTCTGCTCATATGCCTCCTCCACTGCATCCTCCCAAGGCACTGTAAGCTCAATGATGTAAACGAGCCGGAGTGAGGCCGACCATAGCACAAGGTCTAAGGTCTCTGGTCTAAGGTTGGTCGACGCAATCTCAGATGGGAAGCATAATTTTCCAATCACGTGCTCCATCTAGCCGTCCTGTGCCTGGTCTTGCTGTAGCACCTGGTTGTGTCGCCATGTATATTGATCAACACATGTGTTTTAACGCACACGTAAAACAAACTACAAGGACCGCCTATTTTCACCTTTGCAATATTACGAATTGAAACTTGTCCACGCATTTGTTACCTAAAAGGCTTGGCTACTGTAACTCCGTGCTTTCAGGCTGCTCAAAAAAATCGAAGTCTCTGCAGCTAATACAAAACGCTGCTGCACTCATTCTGACTAGAACCAGTAGGAGAGATCATATCACCCCTGTTTTAGTAACTTTGCACTGGCTTCTGGTAAAATTGAGAATTGATTTAAAAATATTCTTCTTACATACGCAGCCCTTAATGGTCAGGCACCATTTAAAAAAAGTCCTTACACCACACTGCCCCACTAGAACACTGTGCTCCCAAAATGCAGGGCTACTTGTAGTGCAAGATGTAGAATGGGAGCCAGAGCCTTTCGCCATCAGGCACCTTGGCTGTGGAATCAGACCCCTATCTGGGTCCGGGAAGCAACCAACATTTCCATATTTAAGAGTAGGCTTTTAGTAAAACTTTTAGTTAGGGATGGTTTTTCTTTATTTTGTGAGAGGGCTAGGCTATTTTATGAACTTTTATCGGTTTGTTTTAGCAGTCTCCTCGTGATGGTTATATAAGCTGCCAGCTTTGCAATCTTTTTCATTAAACTCCAATTGTTAAAGTCTCACAGTGTGTGTGTGTGTGTGTGTGTGTGTGTGTGTTTCCATTTCATATAATTCCTCAACAATGCCGCTGCCTGTTTCCTCCTGATTGCCTTCTTGGTCGCCGCTGATATAACTTTAACAAGCTACAGTATCTGTCCATATGTTGTATATCTTTCCTTATATACGTGTCAGGTTGTGTATTTCATAACCTAGAATCACTTTCAACACGACCCATACATCATCGTCATCGTCTGCATCCTTCTGTCCGCACAGTTTAAAGCGTGATTATTGTTTGAATCTACATTTATTCTTAGCAGTAACGAAAAATCTGTTTCTGACATTTGTTTTTTACAGGCTGGAGCTGACAGGTGTTATACCTTACAAATATTGCACCTGTTTCATCTTGAGTTCTGTTTCCCTTTTATTTCTTAATATGCAAGGCTGGTGCTCCTCTGCCCATCACCAGATATGATTTTTAATCTGCCGTACAGGAGATAATTACTTTAACTATAAATCCTGCTTATCCTTTTTTCCCCCACATCTTTCCTCTCCAGGCCCAGCGGAAGCAGCTTTGGGTGGCTCTGATTGAAAAAGCTCTTGCCAAGCTCCACGGTTCCTACTTCTCTCTGCAGGCAGGCCGTGCTATCGAGGGCCTGTCCACGCTGACCGGGGCCCCCTGCGAGTCGCTGGCTCTCCAGGTCAGTGCCACCAACCCCAAGGAGGAGCCCATCGACACTGACCTCATCTGGGCCAAAATGCTGAGCTCCAAAGAAGCAGGGTGAGTGTCAGGAAGTCTCAGAAAAGACTGAGACAATCTCAGCGGGGGGGTGGTAATTATTTTTCTGTGCTGCTAGTTTCCTGATGGGGGCATCCTGTGGAGGTGGTAACATGAAGGTGGATGACAGTGAGTACGAGTCCCTGGGTTTACGGCCACGACACGCTTACTCTGTCCTCGATGTGAGAGATGTAGACGGTCACAGGTGAGGAGTCGAGTCTACTTTGGTGAACAGTTGAACTTACCCAGGAAATGTAGATTAAATTATCCGACACTCCAGATCTGTCTTTGACTGTCAACATCTGGATGCTCTGTTTGTTCTAGACTCAACAAAATACAGCTGAAGACAGGTTTATAACTGTGACGTAGAGGCAGTTTGTGCGGAAGAAGCATGTTCAGTTGCTTTTTTTTAAAAAAGGAAACCACAGTTTGGGATGTATGGAGGAGGTTTTGCTGCAGGAGGATTGAGAAGTTTTGAAAGAACTTTTGATGTTTGTTTTTTCTGCTATTCAAGTAAAGAAGCTGACTTCATCTCCTGATACAGATTCCTAAACCCAGGTTAAACAAGTGAAAGGATAATGTCAGTATTTTAAAATCTTTTAAACCCTTTTTTCACATTTGTTGGTACAAAATGTTTTGAATCCGTGCAGTAGATGCTTCATCCGGCAGCTGAACCTGTAGTTATTTCTGTAGTTATTTCAACACCAAAACATGTGAGAATAGGGCCCAGGTTTAAAAATACCAAAGTTACCCTTTAACACGAGGCTGTAACTGTAACACAACTTCTAAAACATGAAACATTTGTACGCCTGAACTCTTCTTCAGCTCTTCTAATTACAGCTGTAATTGTTAGTATGCAGAATCTAACTTCTTCTTCCTGTTTCAGATTACTGCAGCTGAGGAACCCGTGGGGTCGTTTCTCCTGGACTGGGTCCTGGGCGGACGACTGGCCAAACTGGCCTGCGCACCTGAAGAGGGAGCTCTGCGCCCAGAGAGCCGAGGACGGCCTCTTCTGGATGGACTTCTGGGATTTCATCAGGTAGACCAGGAATTTTTCAGTACATCGTTATCACTTACATTCTGTACAATTTCTCATTTATTTTTACACTCCCAGTTTAAACCGTGGCGTATATTGTGATTGCTTACTTAGAAAACAAAATACAAAGACTTAAATGACATAAGCAAATGCATGAGAAGCAGGTGTGTGTTTGTGTGTTTGACCCTGGCAGGTACTTTGACTCAGTGGATATCTGTAAGATTCATTCAGACTGGCAGGAGGTTCGAGTAGCTGGTGTTTTCCCACGAGGAGCCGACGTCCCGGTGTCGGTGGTGTCCATCACGGTGCTGGAGAGGACGGCTGTGGAGCTGGCTTTATTCCAGCAGGGCAGCAGGTAGGACACGCAGCCCAACCTGTGCAACATGAGTCTTCTTCTTCATGAAACGCTGAGCAATCAACACAATGTTTTAGCATTAGGGGATATTTATAAATGTGGCTGCAGATAAGGCTTATCTGACATGCGCCTCCTCATAACTGTAACTTCTTGCCATCTTGGTTTTTTGAAACCAGACGTAACTGGGAAATGTATGAGTCAATAAAAAGGCTGATCCATGTATGAAAAGACGCGTCCCAAACGTTTCTCCTTGTCCTGTGTCCTCAGGCGATGGGACACAGCGGAGAGCCACCTGTTGGATTTGTGTGTGCTGGTGTTTCGGGTGTCCTACGACAGCTCAGGTACCCTGGCGCTGGGTCGCCTGCTGGCTCACAGCCGGCGCTCGGTGAGGAGGTTTGTGGGCTGCGACGTCATGCTGGAGCCGGGCGAATACGCTGTGCTCTGCTGCGCCTTCAACCACTGGCACAGCAGCGGCACAGAGGGGACAAGTAAGGACTGTTTATCAGGATTTAATTTAATTTTTAACTTATTTATTTCTAATATAAAACCGTAACATCCCTTGACAACAAAGCTTGTCACTCAAAAAGTATTTCGAGATTTGTTTTTACAAAAAAAGGGAAAATGATAGAGAATGAAGCACCATCGTAAGGTGTAGGGTATAAATATACAGGGACAAGCTTTAGGACGAACCTCCCTCCCTCCGGCTGAAATATGAACTGCCATAACTTTTCATAATCATTGTTTCATGTCAACATCTTTCAGAAGCGGAAACACTTTTTCCTTTTCTTTTTTAAAAGTAGAAATTGTATAACAACAGTTTACACGGCGAGTGATACATCAGAGCCGAGTTTAGCTCCGAGGAAACGTGTACGTCGACGTAAACTGTGTTGCCTTGGACACCCTGTCGTGTACTTTACTGCTTTTTGATACGTCAGTGTTTACATACATGTTGCTGCTGATTGGGTAACACCTCCGGGCACACCGTTTCGAGGAAACATGTCCTTCAATGCGGAAACTGTAGCAAACCGGCATAAAACGTTGTGAGCTTGAACTCGCCCCAGCTGCAGTGGGCTCTTTAAAGAAAAACGGTGCACACAATGGAAACAGAATTATAACCTAATGAAAGGACAGAAAATATAAAATAGTTAGGGGGTCTCTTGTAAAAATGTTAAAGGTTCAGTGTGTAAGTTTTAGTGGCCTCTAGTGGTGAGAGTTGTGAATTGCACCCCCCCTCCCCTATCCAAGCGAGTTGCATAGCTACGGTGCCTGAGACAGGACAAACGATGTCATCTGTGACAGTTGCCAGTCAAGAAATGAGGTTTCTTTTGATAGATATATTAAGAAATTATATTTACTTGATAATTCAGTAAAATTATATGTTTTCATGAATATTATTGTTATTTGTTCATTAATAGTAAATAGTATTCCTGTTTTGTTTGGACTAAATAAATCTTCATTTGAACTGCGGGCACTTTGCCTATAGTCTGCATTTGGGCCCACACCTCAGTTCTCTGCTCCCCCCATGACACCTGGCTTCATGGGATAAAGACCAAATGTCACTTCTCTTCTTACTTCTAATAAACCAGAGGGCTACTCAGAGACTGCATATTATTATTATTATTATTATTATTTCCACTTCTTCTTCTATGGACGCATTTATTGTAGTGACGGGCGTCTACACTGCCGGAATTATACAAGCAGAAGAAGAACGCTGTGATGACGGAAAGAGCTCTGTAGTGCTGTTTGTTCGTTGCTACGGTAGAAACATGACGACAAAATACAGCGACCTCCATAGGAGGGGGTGCCCGTGGTTATGTAGATATAAATGTCTCATTCTGAGGTAATAAAACCATAACGGCTCATTATGTAAGGTCTTTATACACCACTGAAAAAATAGTAATGGATCTTATATTGCATTTCTGTCAATAAATCCTCAGAAATATTACACACTGAACTTTTAGTTGCTGTTTCTTTTAGTATTGTTTTCTCAGATTTAATTATCAGATATAAGTTGAATCTACACTTATGTGATTGACTGAAAATGCATTTGTGAATCGAGCCACGGCACAAAACTGCAGTGAAGTTCACACGTAACAAAACAGTTTGCATATAAATACAACAACATCCAAATATGGTTTTAATAAAAATTACTCTTAAATAGGCCTAAATACATTTGTGGAGAGAGTCATTTTTTTATTTAAATCCTGAAATACATTTGTGAATCCTCCTGTGTGCGTTCAGTAATACTGACACTGATCTGACACAAACGAAAAGAATGATTTTTACTTTCATCTCTTACTTAAGTCCAAAACGTCACTTTTAGCCGGCTGATTAACACGGAGCTGAAATGGATTTGCAGAACATTATTAAACTCTGTTAACAAGCCACTGTTGTGTCTTTTCAGCGGGCTGCGGCAGATCAGAGGTGCCGGGTTACATGCTGGCAGTCTACAGCTCCAGACTGGTGATGGTGGAGCAGGTAACGGCCTCCAACACCACCATCGCTGACGCCATCATCCAACTGGCAGAAACTAAAGGAGAGAGACACGAGGTAACGTGTCCAGGTGGTCATCAGATCAGTTGTAAATACATATTAAAGACACGTTCCTGGAGTATTGTATGTATGTGGATTTGATTAAAGAGTGAATTAAGGCTGAAGCGGTAAAATCATTTAAACTCTAAACAAGCATCCAAAACCAGCAGCTCAAAACAACTGATTTGTCTGTTTTGCATGTGTGAGGTGGAGGCATCAACACACTGTAACTCCACTGCACAGTACAGACAGACAACAGATGAGCACTAACCTACATTTACTGTGCTTAATGTAAAACTTAAAAGCAGATCTTTAAGCAGAGTCCTAAAAAGCCGCCTGTCCCCTTTACTGGCCTAGTGTCGGAGCGCGGAGTTATTCGGATGTATAAAACCTCTTAAACCCCACCGGGTTGCCTGCTTGAGCTACAGTAGGTCTAAGCTGCTTAGATCATGAATACAAATACAAATGTTTAAGCTTTTGTCAGTTTGGACATACTACACATCGTTAGATTAGTTGGATTCTCCACAATTCAATCGATCAGTTCATTTTGCAGAAACAACGAGCCCCAAATTCCAGATCGTAAAGAAGTGAGACGACATGAAAGTGCCAACTGTGTCCGTTCCTCGTTTAGTTTTTAGTCCTTTAGTCTGTAAGGGTCCACCGATCAAAGGAATGAAAACAGCTTTTAATAAAACTTAATCCAAGTTGGGAATACTGCCACATGTTTCTCTGATTCCTGCACCTCCTGTTTTTGTTACCTTGCTGACCACAAAATTAAAAAGCATAAGCCGTCTGTCGGAGCCAAATCAAATGAATGGTTTGCAATTGATATGTTTTTTGATAGCATCATTTTTATACGGGTAATATTCTTACTGGTTGAAATAATAATTTGATAGTAGCCTATTTCACATCTATGCCGAGCGAGAGTTTTGTGAGTCCGGTCTCAAATACAGGCAGGGTCAGTTCAGTGATTTTAACAAATAAAAGCGCGGGCTATTAATTTAAGTTTTACAGTATTTAAACACCCCATGCGTCGTCACAAAAAACCTGAAATCAGGCGGTTTATCTGATTGTTTAGAGGTACATGTTTCTCACAGGACAGCAAACACATACATATCTTACAGACCATGATGCATTGCTGCAGATTAAACTTCGCAACAGGACATAAAGGAGTTAAAATATCTACAGCTGTAAAATGCAACATTAATGCAGCAGGAATAATAATCCAGAAACATCAGATATAACAGGGAACATGAGTACTTATACTTTTTATACTTGAAATACATTTGCTAATAATACTTACACACTTTTACGTGTAGTGGAGTATTTTCTCAGTCCTGATTTGGTAATTTGGCTGAAGTAAAGGACCTGAATTCTTCCTCCACCGCTGGTTTCAGGGTCGAGAGGGGATGACGTGTTACTACCTGACCCACGGCTGGGCGGGGCTTATCGTCATGGTGGAAAACAGACACCCGAGGCATCACCTGCATGTGTCGTGTGACTGCAGCGACAGCTTCAACGTGGTGTCGACGCGCAGCAGCCTCAAAGCCATCGACAGCATCCCTCCTCTGCACAGGTTCACTGCAGCACACATCACTGATTGAAACCGGATAGACTGACGACAAAATGATTAATCGTTGCTGGTTACAATCTCTCAAATATAAAGATTAGTTTAAGTTTGTTTCAAATTATTAGAAACTTAAACTGTGGGATTCTTAATGATCTTTTCGGCTTAGAAAAAGATGTTTAATCAAACAAATAAGGGTGAGCCGCTGTTCTTGAAGTTGGCACGTAAATAAAATATAATATTTAGTAATGGTTAATTATCTAAATATGTGGAGAAATCTTTCCTGAAGATTGTGTCAGAGATGATGCATATGGTTTGTTGTATAGGGTTTTTAATGCAGTGTCCAACTTGCTTCCTGGTCTCTGTTCCTATAAATGGGACCATAATTTACTAAATGAACATCATGCTGTGTTGAAGAAGTCTTGAAACTAGCGACTGAGACCATAAACTCATCAGGAAAGTGTTTACTGAGGGAATAAATCAGCTGAGAAGTAGAAACATTTTCTCATAGACTTCTATACAATCACACTTCTCTCTGCAGCCGGTGGAGTCGCCCCCTGCTGGCTTCTGGAGAGAACGCAGGTTTAAGGCTTAACTTCTTAACTTTTTGAGTTTCGAATAGAAATTATTAATGCAAAGTTTTTTCATCAGGCAAACATCTATTTGTACAAAAAGCAGAATATACTGGATATACAGACAGAAAGGACTCACATGGCTGTTGGCTTAAAGACCTTGCAAGTTAATCAAGTTGTTTGGGAGCTTCACTGTGCGGACAACCTCAGCCTTTTCTGTGGATGAGGTTCTTTATGGTGAAGCTCTTGTTTTAAATATAATCAGGCCTTCAGACCGAAAAGGGGCTGCGTTGGTTGAGGCATGTTGCTTCAGGTACCAGTGAGACATGACATGAGACACGACCCAGGAGGTCTAGGATATTTGAAGCTAAAGACAGAAAATCGCTACGCAGAATTTTATAGTTTCACAGCAGTGGAAAGTCACTGTTTTACCGTCTGTAGCGACCATCATGAGTTAAACTGAGGAAATACAGCTTTCACGGTACAAAGTCATCTACCAGGAATGTGAGCTTGCATGTTTTGCCTCATTGGCTCCTCCTGAAGATGTAAATCTTTAAAAACAGCACAAATATATAGTTTCATGTTTAAAAAGGCAAAGTGATTTCCTAACACAGCTTCTTGCTGTAGTTTCTATCAAACAAACAGAAAAAGTGCATTTGTTGGGGACTATTTTTTCAATGGCGGATGAATCCAGTGCAGCAGTGAGACACCTCTTCAGCCTGGCTTTTTGATTGAGGCATTATTTACTTTATTTTACTCATTTATTGTATTGTATTTATGATGCAAAGTTATATTCTTTTAACTTTTATTGGAGCTGTTATTTTATTAATATGCTTTTTTATCCCTCATCGATTGTTTTTTATTTTATTTTGTCTCTTTAATCAATTTTATCTATCTCTATTTAAATATTATGATGATGACTATTTGTAGTAGTAGCAGTAGTAGTAATAGTAGTAGTATAGCTTTTAGTTGTATTTTATTGTATTTCATTGTCATAATTTTAATATTTGTTTTGTATTTTTAAACTATTTTATATAGTTTTTAGTCTCTATTATTATTATTATTATTATTATTATAGTAGTAGAAGTAGAAGTATAGTTGTTAGCTGTATTTTATTGTCATAATTTTAATCTTTGTTTGGTATTTTATATAGTTTTTAGTCTTGCTTTTATCTAACTCTATTTTATTATTATTAGTTTCATTATTATAGCTTTTAAATCTATTTTATTTCACTCTGCACTTGTTTATTATCGACTTGAATTAATTATGCTATACAAATAAGATTTGATTGAAATACACACACACACACACACACAGTACTAAACTTTACTAACTAGAGGTTTTATTTCTCTCTCAGACAGGTGCTTGTGGTTTTGTCTCAGCTGGAGGGAAACGCCGGATTCTCCATCACACACAGGCTGGCTCACCGTAAGGCCGTCCAGGCTTCTCTGGGAAACTGGAGTCCCTCTAAGACGACACACAGTCCGGCTCTGAGCCCAGAGACAGCAGGTCTGCATCAGCCTCGACCCCTCTGACCGTACAGGAACTGGGAGGAATCAGATTAAAGATCTGTTTCATACACGAGACACCAGATCTCATCACGGAGGCAGCTTCTGTAAAGAACAGCCCAGCACTTTAGAGAGGTTTCCCCCTGTCTGTTGCTTTGGTGGAAAAAGGAATATTTCCCATAAATGTTGGACTATTTTGTAAAGAGTTTTTAAGAGTCAGAGCTCCTCGGAGACAGAAATAATCTCACTGATTGATTCAAACCTCAGAAGGCAAAACCAAACAGCTGTGCAGCTTTTTATACGTCAGGTTACACAGTGGACTGAAGACAGTACAGGTGGAACTCTGATCCACTCTCAGCACCTTTCATAGGGACTATTTCTTTGGTTTGAAAGTAGTCACTATGAAAACTGTTCATCTTGTATTCTGTGAATTATCCAGGGGCTTCGTAATTACGCTTATTCATTCATTCAAAAGTCGTATTTCCTCTTTATTTCATCAACGCTGTTGGAAATTCAGGCATGGGATCATGGGAGTTGTTGCCTTCAGCACCACTGCCTTCACTGCAGTCTGCTCGTGAGGATTTTACCAGGCGCTGAATTATCTACAGAGGGCTCCTCTCCAAAATAAACAGACCCGGAGAATTAAACCAGTAAAAACATTGAAATCTCTGATGCAGTTTGGTGGAAACTGGACCGGTTTCTTCACATATGTCCAATGACTAAAATCCTTCATCCAGCTAAAATATATAGTTAAAAAGTATATCATAAACATGTGGTTGAAAACTGGATAAAGACTCCGACACATAGGGGATATGATGCCATTGACAGGCGACCAAATGAAACGCGCCGTTACCTTGATTCAAACTACGGATTTCTTTGGTTTTGAACATTGTTTGAAGTACACAGCTCATTAAAATATATAACATAGTGGTTTTTAAACATTTTAATGCAGGAAAGGTACATAATATATCTTTAAATGTTCATTTTGCCAGCCAAAAAAAAAAAAACACACTTCCCACATATCATTTGAAGTATGTAAAAGTTGTACTCTAAAGCACCCGTACTGTATGTCCCAGTGCAACACCAGTTATTTGCTTATGCAGAGAATGAAATGAAATGTGTTTTAAACCAGGTGCCAGTAAAATACTTGAATAATGTGAGCCACCGAGCACCTCATTGAAAGGCGTTATAACGTTACGCAGGAGCATCAAAGAACCAGCCTGTTACACACTTACATTCAATAAACATAAACTGATTTTTAATTAAATTTCTGTTTGTGCTGCAGCTTAAAGAGGTCATACTCTGCTTTTTGGCTTTTATCCTTTATTGTGTTATATATCTTTTTTGTGCATGTAATAGGTTTGCAAAGTGAAAAAGCCAAAAGAGAGTTCCCATCTCCCACAGAAAACTCTGCCCCTGAACTGCCTGAAAACAGCTGGATTGCAGTCCAGCATTTATCTGCGTCACTATGTAACACGCGCCATAATCCGTGTGACATAGTGACGCAAAAACACTGGTGGAGAAACACACTGAGCTGCAGCACACACAGTGACAAGACGTTATTACGTAGGAACTGCGCACGTGCAACTCCCAAAAAAGATCAAATAGAAGTGAGATGCTTCACTCCGTAGCTAAAACGGACCGTTCAACACACAGGGTGAAAATAGTTGCTGCAGCAATGTGCAGTATTACAACACAAATATGGTATTTCTTGAAAATTAAACCATGTAAACATATTCTGGTACATATTTTATTTATTTTACTTATTTAAACGAGCGTTCTCTGCTTCACTTCTTTTGAGAGGCCAGTATTTTATAACTCACTGGATTAGGAAAAATAAAGTTGTGCACTAATCTAACTCGAAGGCCGGCTGGTTCATTCTCTGTGCGCTGCTGCTTAATACTGTATTTTATAACTCTTTCAGTGAAAAACATTGCAGGACAGACACTTTATAGTACGTCCTGTTTTGTTTGTGCAGATACAGCACAGGTAAGTGTGTGAACTGAGCCTGTAACTCAAAGTGAGATTATTTATTTCTGTCTTCAGAGCAGCTCTGCCTCTAACAGATGTCCAATCCGTAAGCAGAAGATTCACATTCCTCCACACAGACATGTACAACAGGTGTAATGAGTGAACACATGATGCACTTTATGTTTTACCGTTACTTTTCAGATCACAGCTCTTCAGGTCCAATCTGTCTTAATTGCACTGGTGATAGATAAATAGAAGTTAACTTAGCTTAGTTGTGTCTGAACTGGCTGCAGAGAATATTCACAGTGATAACACAAACATGGTCTTTGTCGTACCGCAGTCTTAATACTTAACGGTGAAACATGTAGGATATTTAAATAAAGTCTTTTTAGAGTGGAGGCTGGCTGTGTGAAAAAGCATTAGCACTTTATGAACCTTATGCTTGATTCTTGTGTTTTACTTTACTTTATTAAAGGAGATAGTTACTGATCCAAATCCCATTGTTAGAGAAAACATATAAAACTATGCAAATATTTGAAAGCTGTTGTGAAACTTCGTCCATTAAAACATGTGCAGCTCTTTATCTTTGGCGTATCTATTATATTTGTTAAGATTTATTGTGTTAAATGTATTTAATTAAGTTGTTTTGAACGTCCATCATAATCGCTGGGCGAGTATTTTCGACAGCTCAGCCTCTGATTGGTTAACAGTCGTTGGCTCGGTTGGTTAGGATTGGTTAAGGTCAGCGTAAGGGTGGGACTAGGGTTAGAGGTAGCCAATCAGAGGCAGAGTAAGGGGGCGGGACTTTTGACTCAAAGCTCGTGTCCCGTCGAATTAGATTTGCCGAATGTGTGGGCAGGACTGATGACGCGATTTACGTCACAGATGAAAACCAAAACACTGGCTGCTGCTGTTAGCCACCTAGCTAAAACACGATTATAGCTAATTTTTATATAACAGCAGCTACGAAGGATCCGTCGTCAAACAGCACCGACACAGGTGTGTGAATATAATGTTGTTGATTATGTAGCTTAGCTTTACGTGCGTGTTAAGGAGCTAATAGCTCGGTGAAATAATGTTTCATTGTGTTTGTTAGCTTCATCGTGGCAGCTAACGCTAACGCTACTTAGACTGTGTGACAAAAGCTGCAGCGACGTTACGACTCGGACACTTTAGGGGATAAAAATGATAAATTAGGAATTAAATGGGAAAAGGTGATAAACGTCAGAAAGGTAGATACGGTTAGCTACACGTTAGCAGTGATTCTCACAGGACAGCTGCTAAGTTTTTGTCTTGCGATAGAAACAAAGACGTAACGTTAAGTTAACACATTAAAGACAGGTGGGATAAAGATCCTGACTACGCAGTAACTTAGTGTGACTGTTTTGGGGTGTTAAATGTTCATCAGCTGGCCCCTCATGCATGTTAGAAAACCCTGTCCTTCCAGTTCCAGCCAGCTAAACCCACCTCCCCAAAACTCCTCTCTCTCACCTTTAGATCTCTCACAGTTAGCTCTTAATTACTTTTAATAATTTAGTTTGAATTATATAATTAGGCAATTATTTTTATTGAAAATCAAATGCATGTTTTAAACAAACGTCCACAACCTGTGCTGTATGCACATCATGCAAGTTTAATTCAATTATAGTAATGTTAATGATGATGATAATATTGGGAGTGGTAATAGTTGAGGATAGAAGGACGAGAAAGCACAAGACTAGAAGTGAACATGCATTAATGGGATGAGGTTGTAAACAGAAGGAAAGAGAGAGGAGCTCAGTGCATCATGGGAAGTCTCTGCAGTCTTGGCCTTTATGGCAGCATAAATAAGGGATGGTTCAGCCCTAAATGTAAGCTTTAGTCCACAAGTCGATACAAATATTGCAAACTAATTTGGCTTACATCAGTCAGTACAATAATAGTCCACGAACACAGTGTTGCAGGCCGTGTGGACGGATAATAAAACCTGCAAAACAGGAGAAATGAACAACACTGGAGACTTGCTGCCGTTGGTCTTGCCAGAATTTATGTAATAAATACAGTTATTTAAGTCGATCAATAAAGTCTTTTTTTCACGACACTCATTTTCCAACTAAGTTACTAAATTACAATAAGTTAATCAAAAAAAACACAGTTCCTTACACAAATATGATAAATAATCCACCTACTCATCGCCCCTTGTTCGACCCTTTAGAAGGGAATATGAACCTTTTCACCATTTACAGTGTGCTTCCGTGGGCGCTGACATTGCTTTGTGACGTCATTCAGCTGCTACTCGTGAAGCTGGGGTACATATATTTTTCCCTGAGTTCACAAGTAGGTAATCCGACGTCAAGTGGCGTTCCACAGTACTTTTTCTTGTTGGAGATCGGTAATTTCAGAGTTCCGCGTCACCTGGAACGCAGCATTAGATGTCAGTTTTCCAGTCAGGATTTCGACCCACGTCACATCACAGCACTAACTGCTCTCCTCGAGCTCTTAAATGACACCAGCTTCAACTGTTTTCGATGTTTTTGTCTCAGTTCCTGTCGTGCCTGTTGGATCCGAGCGTCAGGATAGGGAAGCAAAGTGAAGGGGCAGCTGCCGCCGGCGCAGCGAGCCTGGTGGACAGGATGTCAGAAAGTCCAGAGAAGAGCGCCTCGGTGTCGGCTCAGGAGCTGAAGGAGCAGGGCAACCGCCTCTTTCTGAACCGCAAGTACCTGGAGGCCGCTGCCTGCTACAGCAAAGCTATAGTAAGGACCAGGACTGTCTGTCTGCTGCTGTATGTTCAATTTAACGTTTAAAGAGCAACTGCTGTGTGTATACAACATACAGGAGTTTCTCCTAAAGATGTCTCCTAAAATTATACACTTTTTAATCTTAGTATTGTGCTTAATGGTAATACTGAGAGCCCTTCCCTTACGCTTACATTTTTTCACATATTGTCTTTATACGTCAACAGCTTTACGACAAACTGAGACGGACCTAGGCTAGTGTGGTTATTAAAGGCAGAGAGACGAGAGTCAAACCGGACTAAGGGCCTCGTTGTATATCAGATTTTAGATTTGGCAAGAGGATCAGGTGTCAGTTCTGTGAGTTGAGATTTTGTGTTCAGCATCTGGAGAGAGAGAGAGAGAGAGAGAGAGTTGGATGGGTGCCCCCTTACAGTACTCGTGTCTGGTCTTTTCCCCTCTTTTAGAGCCACAGTCCCGCGGTCCCGGCGTACTACACCAACAGAGCGCTGTGCTACGTGAAGCTGCAGCAGTACGACAAAGCCCTGGCAGACTGCAGACTCGCTCTGGAGCTGGACAGCCAGTCGGTGAAAGCTCACTTCTTCATGGGCCAGTGTCACCTGGAGATGGAGAGTTATGACGAAGCCATCGGCAACCTGCAGAAAGGCACGTGGGATTTAACTCGCGTTGTTAGCGACATCTAAAGCTGCATTAACCATAACACATTAGAAAGTAGTTAGATGCCTACTTCCTCATCCAACAAGCGCAGAGCAACATTATCATCCAGTTGAAGTGGAGTTTGTGTCACCTAATGAATTTAAGTCCTCATCGTCTAAACTCCATATCTTTAGCTGCTAAACGCTCCGCTGTGCTCACCAGCTCGCCTCTTAACTGTGTACGTCTACTGTTTGGTCGTGTACCGCGTTTTTTAGCAGTGGTGCAATGTAACGAAGTACTTGAGTGACTTGTACTTTCCATTGCATGCCACTTTCTACTTCTACTCCACTACTCAGAGAGAAATATTGTACAGGTTTAGTTAATAGTTACTTTGCAAATTCAGATTTTATATACACAAAACATATGAAGAACTTTTGAAAAATGATGCACTGTAAAAAGGAAACAGTTGATAACATCTGCAACTATTTTGATAAATGAAAATAGCTTCAAAATGCTAAACTCTTAATGATTTCGGCTTCTCAAATGTGACAATTTGCTTTTCAGTAAACAGGGGATGCACCAATCTTTACCTTTTTTAGTCCCGGTACGGATACCAGTACCTGGACTTTGGGTATCTGCTAATGCAGAGTGCAAATCCCCGCACCAAGTTCCTGTCAGCTTTTACAGAGGAGCAACAGAAAGCGTCCAGACTGGAAACATCACTAACATGGGATGTGCACGGCCCAGGACCGGAGGGCTCTGCAGAAGGGGGATTAAAACTGCTCAGAAGATCATTGGTACCCATCTCCAGAGCATCAGTGATATCGGTGAGGTGCCTACACAAAGCCCAAAGGATATTAAATGACGGTACCCACCCAGCCACAGCCTGTTCACCCTGCTGCCTTCTGGGAAGAGATAGAAGTGTCTGCTGCAGCACCACCAGACTGCAGAGCAGCTTTTCCCCCCAAACAATCAGACTCTTAGACTCTAATTCATCCTCAGCGCTGCTCCATTGATAGCTTATTTCTGTTTACCATTTTCTATAATTGCTTTTAAATTACTGTATATTGTCTGCTCTGTAGCAGAAGGGAGTTACAAACGCAGTTTCACTTTACAACTTGTGACAAGTAAACCTACCATCTACATCGTACCTTCTACCTTTGAATTGTTTTTCTCCAGCTTATAACCTGGCAAAGGAGCAGCGGCTGAACTTTGGCGACGACATTCCCAGCGCTCTGCGGATAGCGAAGAAGAAACGGTGGAACAACATGGAAGAGAGGAGGATCAACCAGGAGAGCGAGCTGCACGCCTACCTCACCAAACTCATCCACGCTGAGAAAAAGAGGCACGTCGATCTAGAAAACGTGACACGCTGAAATAGATCAGGTGCTTTCTTCTCCCCCAGACGGACTCCTGATCCTTAATTAAATTGAAGTGTGTGTTGTTTAATCTGCAGGGAGCTGGAGGGCTGCCGGCAGAAGCAAGAAGACAAGTCAGACGACGGCAGAATTCAACACAATCTGAATGAGATCCACACAAAACATGTAGGTTTTTTTCTTTTATTACGAGAGCTTTGTTGACTTTTTTTTTATTTTTAAGTTAACTTTTATTTTTCCAGTGTAGTCGTGTAGCAGGGGAAATGGATTTCCAGTGTTTGAGGTTAAGTTTCTTTTTTTGTGCCCTTTTTTTCATTTTATGTTGTTTTTGGGGGGGTTAAGACAAAATAATCATAAACACATAAAGACATAGTCCCCAAAACACTGGTCTCCTTTCTCCTCAGAAATTGTAGTGAATCAAAATAAGATAAAGAGAAGATAAAAACAAAATTACAGATAAATAAAATATACATCTTACTAATTAAATACATTATTAATTCCATCAAACCTCACCTCCCCATCCACCCTTCCCTGTGGCCTAAGTACTTTTTATAGTACTCTTTATAGTTATAGTTAAATCGTGAACTAGCATATCAACATTGTTAGTTACAGTATTTTATGGAGTTACAAATAATTAACAATTTGAATAGACATAAATGGGATTAAAAAAAAAACAGATAAACAAATAAATACATTTTATAGTAAAAAGCAAAAAAAAAATAGTCATAACAGTTCATATAAAAACGAGTTTGAGTTTCTTAAATGCAGTTTAGATTTCGAATCATTAAGCTGACTTTAAATTACTTTGTTCAGTTCAATACAAATTAATTCTGTTTGCATTTACATTTGAAATGTACATATTTACATAAAAGCCTGCAGCTCTCGTGTCTCAGTCTGCAGCTGCTCTGCTGTTGCTGACACTTGTGTTCTTATTAAAAATGAACCAGATTGTCGCCTGCAGTTTGAACCGCATCACAAACACCTATATTAGTTGACTGATGTTAGTGACATTAAAATCTGCAGTGTTTGAAACGTACTTATACTAACCGCTTCAAATTCATCACAGCTCACTCGCCTCCGTTCAGACTCTACTAGTAGTGCCAGAGTTGCAGCTGGCAGACAGTGGGCCTTTCTCATTTCCCAAATTTGCGCCTTCTCGAGCCTGTGACCCGGGAAACGATCTCCGCGCTCCATCTTGAAGGACATCTCAGTTCTTAAAATGCACCTAGAGGAGCGAGGATCGAGGAGGCTTTCTGGAGGAGCTGTAAGCGAGGATACAGCGGCGTATCCTTTGCGGAAGTCTTTTCAGCCGCTGTGATGATTAAAAGAGGCGTGACACATAGCAGGACCAACCCGTGGCCGGAGCAGGACTTGTATTCGTAAGGTGTAATTCTGTTTTCAATTCAAATTAGCTTTGTTGGCATGAATGATTATGAGTTTTCTCTGTCTGTTTATTACTGCAGGCTTTTGTTTTGACTTAACTGCACGGATGGAAACGTTTAAATGACTTGACAACATCCTCTCTGATCATCAAAGTAAAAACACTCATCCATCAATATAACACAATAAAGAAATCACCTGCAAAACTGCAGCGGCTTTCTGGAGATATGATCTGTAGTCTTTATTGCCAAAAACTGGTCTGCTGCTCTGACAGATGGACAGATGATGCAGCTGTGCAACAGGTCAGATTTAACTGACCTTTAAAATGACGCTCCGAGAAAAAGGACATCTCTTTTCGTTAAACGCCCGTTCCCTCGAATCCTCGAGCTCGTATCACGGGTGGGAGGGACTAAGACGCGACGCAAGGGGGTCGAGGATCGAGGAGGCACAAATTTGGGAAATGAGAAAGGCCCAGTGTGTGAAACAGGTATCCTCCATATCACTCTTTCACATTAACAGAGAACACACAAACCTGACGCCTCTGCATGGATCTTACTGCTCAACACTGTGTGGAGCCTAAAGATCATCTGTAGGAACAACCGGCCGTACTCAGATCTGCGCCTGTTATTCAGTTCAAAACACTAAAAGGTCTATATAAGGCAAAAAGCTCGTCACATAATGACCGCCTGCTGGAGTCATCATATACATTTATTCATATTCTCATCATATTCATATGTCCAGTTTATTAGTGGGGGGAAAAAATCAATACAGCACAGTATCGTGATATTTTCCTCGGCAATACTGTATCGATGCACAGAAGCCAAGTATCGATCTTTTATTATATAAATTACACATGAGAATTTGACTTTTTTGGTACTATAATAATAAAATCAATTGTTTTTTCAGGCCACTAGAAAAAGAGTTTTCCTTTGGGGATACAATTTAAAGTTGGAAAAAAGTGATAAATTCCAATACATCGAAATATGTTTAAAATCCCAATTATATGACGTATAAGTATCATGATAATATCGTATCGTGGGGCCTCCGGTGGTTCCCACCCCTATTTATTAGGTACACTCCATTTCTGTAGAACAAAGCTTTGTTCTGTGATCTACAGGCTGCACAAGAACGTTACACGTGGCTTGTACGAGATGTAAATAAGTCGCACTGAAAACTCCCTGGAGTCTGGTGCTAAAGTCGACAGCTCAGTGAAGTTATTCTGACTGAAATCTAATTTGATCCTTGTCATTTCGTGTTTACTTCAGTCGTAGTCCTGTTTTAACCGGTTCATGTTTGAGGATTTTGTAACCTAAAAACAGGCGTGTTTCTCTGCAGGACAAGTATCTTTCAGACATGGAGGAGCTGTTCTGTCAAGTAGACGAGAAGCGGAAGGTCAGTGTTGATGAATGGAAACGAAACGACTCACTTACATGCAAACATCACCCGAAGGCGACAAAAGGAATCCAATCTGTGGATGTAGAAAAACATAACTTACTGTCCACTCTTGCCCGAAAAGTTAACACAAGTTAAATGTAGTGTTTTGTTTTTGTGTGTTTTCGACAGAAGCGAGAGATCCCAGACTTCTTGTGTGGAAAGATCAGCTTCGAGTTGATGCGAGAGCCGTGCATCACTCCCAGTGGAGTCACGTACGACAGAAAAGACATCGAGGAGCACCTACAGGTAAAAACTCCTCCCACAGAGTTACTAAGAAGATGTTCAGGCCACATGTGTCAGATTTACTGCTTCAGTAAAAGTACCACACAAAAAAAAAACTCTGTGACAAGTACAAGTCCTGCATTTAAAATGTCCCTTCAGTAAAAGTATGTGAGTATAATCAGGAAAATGTCCCTGAAGTATTAAAACAGCACTGTCACGTCTCCTCTCCTCAGACTCCTCCTCAGTAACGTGCAGCAGGATGTTGCTGCTGCAGCTCTTTCTGACCCGTTTAGTTTCAGATTGCAGCTGATGATTCTTGTTGATTATTTCCTCCATCAAACCAAAGACTGTTTGGTTTGTAAAGATTCTGCTGTCACAGTTCCCCAGAGCCCAAAGAGACTCCTTCACAGCGCTTGTTGAGTCCAAAGCTCAACGTTATTAACAAACATTAAAGTTATTCTAATCAGAGAAGAAGCAGCAAATCTTCATGAGAGAAGCTGCAACATCTGGAAAAAAACTCTTCAACCATTAATTTCTGTCACAAGACTAATTAATAAACTGTTGGGGAGGTTTTTAACAAAACAAAAATCTGATTTTATAAACTCGTCATGGGTTTTGTGTAAAAACCTTAATGTGTAGAGCAACTGAAGCTGTCACATAAATGTAGTGATGTAAACACACATTTCCCTCTGAGATGTGGCGCGCAAGAAGTATTAAGATATCGAGTAAAAGAAAACAGTACCTCAAATGTGTACTTAAGTACACAGCACTTGAGTAAATGTACTTATTATATTCCACCACTGCTCACTTCCTTCCTTCAGAAAGTCCCTGAAGAGCTACTTGATCTCGACTGTGATTGAAATGGAACTAAATAAAATAATTATAAAACTGGATTTATATTGTAACTTAAATACAGAAAGATCGAAGACAGTGTGCGTGCACGTGAAGGAACAAACGCAAGAAACAGGAACATAAAAAAACGGAGCAGGATTTCTTTAAAGAGACAAAAAAATTAGAGCTTTAAAAATGAGCAGTAATTAAGTTAAGGGAAAGATTTTAGGTAAAAATATGTTTGAAAAGACGAGTTTAAACCTGTTAACGTGTTCCCCAAACTGCTACACCAGCCTACTTATATATAAACATAAATTTTTAAAAGACGTGTTTGTTGTTTTCTTGCAGAGAGTCGGCCATTTTGACCCCGTAACGCGCACTCCTCTGACCCAAGATCAGCTCATCCCAAACCTGGCCATGAAAGAAGTCATTGATGCTTTCATTTTGGAGAACGGATGGGTGGAGGACTACTGACCAGGAAGGGAAGTCCCAGTTCACGGATGGAGAAAAGATCAGTGTGTTAAGAGCGGCTGCTGCTCTGCCAAGAGTTTAACTTCAGTTCAGACACGTCGCATGCAACATCAACATCAACCACAGCAACTTTATTCCTGTAGGGAAAGTTACAGGAGGAAGAAAGGGAATCTATAAATGCGTTTAGGAGAGATGAATGTACTTTTAACCCGCACAATCCAAGTTATAAAATCAAGAGAAAAGCCAAAGAAAACGAATCAGAAGCTTTTTAAAGACGATGTCAGTAGAGGGCGCTGAGTGTTAAACCTGCAGCATGAACCAGCTGTGGAAGAAGAAGTACTCACACCCCCTCCTCAGTAAAAGCAGCAAACTGCAATATAAAAATACCGTGTTGCAAGTAAAGGTCCTGCATTTACAGTTTTATTTAAAGGTAGAATTATACAAATATACTTACTATCAAAAGTAAATACTTATTTTGTGCAGGATGGCCCCATAGAGAGTTATTTTTTATTTTATTTTATGCTTCAGCCAAATTGAACGTTTTTCTAACTTGTTGGGTTTTTTTAATTTATTGAAGTGTTCACATGCTTTGTTTGTAAAATCCTAATTTAAGGAATCGCTGTCAGATAAATGTGGAGAAGTTATGAGTACAGTTTCGCTCTGAGATGTAGTAAATGTGTGAGGCTGAATTATTTTGGAAAAAATCTCTTAATTCCCATTTTTTTAAATTATATAATATAATAATTATATTCGATACTAGAGAGAAATATAATTTTTACATTATCTCATTTACATTAACCATCTGGTTTCTCAGTTTTCACTCAGGAGCAAAAATCTGCCTTTGAACTTGAAAGAAATAGCGATTTGACGTTTATCCTGATAATTATCGATATCGAATGCTTTGAATTGTTTTTATCGTGTAACATTTTGGCCCTAGTTTCACCTTCAACACATTTGCGGCTTCTGTGATTTAAAAAGTGCGGTATTGCAGTTTCAATAAAAATTTCAAATAATTGTTCAGCCCAAGCGAAGTACAAGTAGCAAAACAGTACATAATATATAATATACTGTACATAAACAAACATGTTTCTCTGCACCTCACTGATCCTGATTCATCATCCAAACTGGGCTCATTAAAACAACACAAAACAGGTCAAAATGTCTTAAAATGACAAACAAGCACTTTAAGTTTTAACTCTCAAAGTTTAAGGGTACAATGTTGATTTGTATTAAAAGTACTGCGGCTGTCAAGTTGTTTGTACAGAGCGTCCATGCTGGAGCTTCTTTGGAAAGTTCTTAAATTCATCAGAGCAACAGCCCCTTTTGGTTTCTGTCCCGTGTTTCCAGGGACCAGTAAGGGCCACCAGTAGGACCAGTAATGAAGTATGTTTGAGTCTGAATCAGCTGCTTCGTTTCAAATTTCCTCTTTTCATCTGTATCTCTGAGGTCAGCGTTATTAAGTCATGTGTGCCATCTGGTATTGATCATCAGTCCGTGCTGTAATCCATGCGCGGCTCAGAGAGGGAACGAACTGCTGACTACAATCACATTACTCACTCAATCAGATTATGTAAAAACTGCAGTTAATGTGGGAAAGTGTTGCGTTTGCCGCCAACCAAAAGAGTAGGAACTGCAGCGCTGCAGCAGAGATTGGTGGGTGGAGCAGTTTTGTTGTAAAGATCATTAAATCGAGATTTTACTGGTTATTTTCTGGTTTTTATGAGTGGAGTCTGGTGCTGCTTCTTTGTGCAAAAACTAAATTTGTGTTTTGTACTCGTTGATTATAAAGTCTTGTTTTGTAATAGTTGTTTTTCCAGACTTTCTGTAACTTGGTATTGACAGCAGTGTGCAAATATATCGCTCGTCTTATTGGAGCCTGATATCAAAGTTAACTCTGATGTCTCATGTTAATTGCACTTTTTATCGTTTTAGCCAGAATTAGCTGATTAAATGTTTCTTCTGTTTTTAATGTGACGATTACAATCCAGCTTTGACTCAATCCAGATAAGTCTGATTTTCTGTGAGTTTCTAAAACACTGAAAACAACTGAAGGAAGCAGATTTACTTCTTTAAGCTGGTTTTCAGTTTTCCGTCTTCCTGCACAAAAAAAAACACCTTTTCTCAGCTGCACAAGTAAAGATACAGAGACACAGATGTTTGAAATTGTTGTGATAAAATAAATGGTTTCACGTTTTCTACATCTGAGTTTTACTTTATTCTTCTCCTCTCCGTCCGTCTTCACACAAGATATTGCTGCTGTGAAATCTGAAATATTAAAGAAATGATCTGCAAACATGTTCCAGCTCCTCCTGGCGGATTCCAGGCCAGATGAGATATGTAATCCCTCTGGGGTTTTCTAGGTCTACCCATGGGTCTCTGGCGTGCCCAGAAAAACCTCCAACGGAAGGCTCCCAGGAGATCCTGACCAGATGTCTGAATCACCTCAGCTCGACTCGGATCTCTCTCCAGATGTCCGATCGTTTCACCCTCTGCTGCAAACTGCCCCAGTGCATGCTAGTTTCTGAAATCAGATTCTCTGCAAAGTGATTAAGGTCTACGACTGTAATCTTTCATTCATGTTGTAAAATATAAAAGCCTTTTACAGGCGCTATATTGAGCAACACACATCTGCTATGCACATCTTAACTGTTATCAAGGGAAAAAACTGATTGGCTTACGTGTTGAAATTTCATCCGTAGATGATCCTGATGTTGCGAGTTTGGCCCAGTGGTTTCTAATGAGAAGTTGAAAATAGGTTTTGGGGAAAATTGAGCAAAATTTAGAAATATTTATAGCAGAAGACCAGATAC